TGTATTCCATTCTATTGGTTTCCTATTTTGATTTTAAATTTTAATAATATAAATTTAAGTCATACCGTTTATTTATTTTGTATAGTGTTTCGTCGGTGGTGTAAATTTTAAGTTTACTGTGAAATTTTGAAGCAAAAAAGGAGTTCCATTTGGGATTATTTTGTTGATGTTAACGATGCAAGTGCTAAATGCAAAATTTGTAACGAACTATTCGCGGAAAGGACGCACAACCAAATTAAAAAAAATTCCGCAAAAATTTACTGTTTACTTCAGTTTCCACTTCTGTTTCCGTTATGACACTTCCGTTTCTAACGCACACTACAGACGATGCGACGGGCGTGAATGCCTGCAAAGATACACTAACAATGAATTTTATTCTTTTTGGTTTGATTATAATTACAGGACGTTGTTATTTAAAATGTTTTCGGCCTTCCTTCTTAAGAAAAAATAAATAAAACAGAATGGTCATTTTCTATACATGGTATTTTTTATCCTGAACACTTCCAACTTTTTTTTTCCGTAGCGCCTATCCTACCCTTTTCCCACCCATACATAGCCGTGCTCCAAACACACTTTTAATAATCTTTTTCAATTTCCAAAGAAATCTATCCAGAGCACAAAAGTGATATATTTTTGTTAAAGGCGATCCGACCCTGCGTTGTTGTTTGTTTGTTTCATACCTTCAACGCTTTTTCCATCCTGAGCATCTGACTCCCAAGATATCGAAAATTAGCGGCTTCATGTTGTTTCTCCTCTCCAATTTCTATATTATTATAGCATTAACCTTACTTTTGCATCCCCTAAGTACCAATAATTTTGTTTTATTTTCTTTTGTTAATGCCGCTTGTATTTTACATAAATTCTATAATTCGCCCCTCCTAGATGCTTATACTGCTGTATCTTCCGCAAATTTAAGCATTCTAATCCGTATTTGCCGATTCATACAGTTGTCCTGTATTTAATAGCATTAATTGTATCTTCCATATTACAATTAAAAAGTAGCAATGAAAACGGGGAAATTTTTTTTACCTGCCTTGCTAATATTTACTACCTTACGATGTTTTCAAATTGTAAAACTAACTTGAACATCTTAGAGATTTGTTTTAGGCAACACTTATTACAAGACAATTTGAAAACATCGTTTATCAAATCGATGCTACCTGATCAAAAGCGTATCAAGAATTTTATCGACAAACAGAAGTACCTTGAAGATAACTTTATAACGAGTTTCTAATATGATATCTGCAGTATCTGTATCAGAAGCAGAGATGAAGGAAATTGGCTTAATTTTCATTACATTTTTCGTAGTAACGGTAACTTAGTGATATTAATTTAGTAGTCTAGATCAATTAAGAATTAATTTTAAGCTTTTTACAGGCTCACGTAACTAGTAATTGGTCTAAAGTTACACCTACTCATAAAATAGCTCCAACAGGACCTCATAAGCTTGCATTCTCCGAAGATATAAGGATTGTGGGAGGAAATGAAGCTTCGCCAAACTCCTTACCATATCAAGTAAGCATTCAAAATTATTTGATCAAAACTATCATACTGATCCCAAAAGTTTGATTAGCAAGGATCCAGAAAGGTTAAAATTTAGATGTAAAATGTACAGGATGTGAAATTCTGTGAGATATAGTATTTTAAAGAAATGGAATTTAATGGGACTGGAGATGCGAACGTACAGCGCGAATAAATTTGAATACCTTCAGGGCTATACTTCTGGTCTACACTAAAATATTTTTATTTATTTAGGTCTTTTTGAGGCTTATTTACGATACATACACGAGTTTCTGTGGAGCATCTCTTATATCTAGAAGATACGTGTTAACTGCTGCACATTGCTTGGTAGATGAGTAAGAAATTTGCTCTTAATTGTTATCTTAACTGCTCAATATACTTTAGCTTTTTCTTTTTCTTATTAGCCTTGTATCATTGGAAGTAATTCTGGGAGCGCATAACATTCGTCAAAGAGAATCTACCCAACAACGCATTCCAACCTCCACGTTCAAAGTACATGAACAGTATAATAATCAACCAGCGCAGAATGATTTAGGCGTCGTCTATCTTCCAACACCAGCCAATCTCAATCGTAATAATTTACTTTATACTAAACTAAATTTCAATTCGATAGGCACCGCTTCGTGGACTTTTTTTCACTTCTTCAGGTTTTCCAATGATGGTTTAATAGACATATAATGGAAGCTTGAAGAAGTTGAAATAAAGTCATTCTAAAGTGATCTCTTCCGTAATTTAATTTTTGCACTAATCATTTCTTGGATCGAATCTACTCTCTATAAACGTTCCTATAAATTCTGTAATTTATCTTTGCTTTTTTACCAAACTAATTTAAAATTTTCACAGAGTACGTTCAACTGATAGCACTTCCAAGTAGAGCTGACGTTTCAAAAAGTTTCGTAGGATCTCAAGCAGTAGCAAGTGGTTGGGGATACACTTCTCAATCTAATCCCGGTATCAGTGACGTATTACGATATATAAATGTTTCCATTATTGCAAATAACGTGTGCAGAGATGCGCTCGGTTCGCAAGTTACAAACAAAATCATTTGTTCTGGAGGAGCAGGCCGTAAAGGAGCTTGCTCTGGAGATTCAGGCGGACCTCTTGTCGTCAGTGGAAAATTGGTAAATACATATCAATTTGACAATATTAAATTGAACACATGTGAATGTGTGTATATTTATGAACCACTTTTTCACTGAAACTTTCACTACCAACCAGCGATAGATAGGTGATAATGGATAAGGGCATTGACCGTGATCAAATCACATCTCTTTCTTTCAAGTTAGAAAAATCTCATATTAAGTAACACTTCATTAAAAAAATGTTCGTAAATGTTTGAAAATTTATCCATCTATACTGTCCTTTGAGTCACCTATGAAGACAAAAAANGAAATACAAGGGTAAATTGTTATTTATATAAATACTAGCTTTTCCCTGCGGCTTCGCTCGCAGAAATTAATATTGTTTCTCCATAACCTTTTAACTCCCAATTCACCCTTACAACGTTTTAATTGTATGTAATGTCGCCATCTTATATTTCAAATACAAACGTAGCAACAACATTTCATCCTAAGGGTTGATTTTTAAAAATTGCCAAAACACGTATTAGTTATGGATCTATGAACAGCCACCTTATCAACTTGTGTGACGTCGATAAAGATAACAATGGACTTGCTATATAAGAGGTAGGCAACGGACAATTGGTCAGTGTTGTGCCAGACAATTATATTACTGAACCAAGTGGTTATTACATTGTAATTCTATTATAATTTGTAAGTCTTTTTCAATAAATAAATTTTGTTTTTAAAAATTCGTTTTCGCGAACGAAGAATAAAACTTATTTGCTTAATTTCAACAATGGGCAACCTCCGAGTAAATCCTAATTCAAATAAAATGTACCCCATGGAAACGTTGCAACCTCTTTTCATTTGATTAATAATATCAAACAGCATATATACCAAGTTTCAAGTAAATTCAACCACAAATAAAGTATGTCCCAAACAAAAATTGCTACGCCTTTTTACCTCTCCTCCCTTTTGGAGGTTGAACTTTTTAAAATGTGGAGATCTTTTAGAAATTAAATGATAGACCATTAAAACCAAGTTTCAAACAAATCTAACCACAAATAGTATATGTTCCATTTAAACAATTCAACTCCTCTTCAACACTCCTCCCTCCTAACAGAGATTGAATTTTTTAACTACTTTCAAGTAAATCGGACCAAAAACAAACATTCAATCTTTACAAACCCCTTTCAGTTTCCTAAAGAGGTTGAATTTTGTAAAATGTTGAAATAACTATGTATGTCACTAATTTTATACGAAAATGCAATAAAGCCAAGTTTCAGGTAAATCTGACTATAAATAAAACACCATACTTGACCATAGACAACATTACGTTCAGCTGTCAGTTGCGTTTTGTTACCACCATCTCCACACCAATTTTCAGCCAAATCGGTTCAGCCGTTCTTGAGTTAAAAATAGTGTAACTAAAACGACTTTCTTTTATATATATATAGATAAATCCGTGGTTACGGTACAAGNATTTATTTAGGTTGCCGTGAACCTTATTTTCGATTATTTCCAAAGTATCTGTGGAGGATCTCTTATTACCCAAAGATACGTGTTAACAGCTGCGCATTGTTTGTACGACGAGTAAGGCATTGTTAATTGTTATCTTCATTATTCGATATATTCTGTTGCATTTTGCTTTTTATTTTTCTTATTGTTAGCGGCCTTATATCATTGGAAGTAATACTAGGAGCACATAACATTGGTCACAGAGAATCTACCCAACAACGCATTCTAACATCCACATTCAAATTCCATGAAGGTTATAGTGACGAAACACTAGTAAATGATTTAGGCATCGTCTATCTTCCAACACCAGCCAATCTCAATCGTAATTACCTTTACTACTAATTTACTTTATTTTAAATTTTAATTAATTATGTCCAATTATTAAGTGACCTACTGAAGTAAAAATAAAATCACTCGATAGGCAAAGTTTCGTAGAATTTATTAAAATTTTGCCTAACTTTCCATTCAATAGTTATATATGAGAAAACGTAAAGAAGTTGAGTCATCGTAATGTAGCCTCTGCAATAAATTACTTTTGCACTTATCAATTTTTCCATCTGTTCTGCTCTCCCTATTTGTACTTTTAAATTTCATTAGTATTTTACTTTGTGTTTTAATTCCATTATTCCCAGAGTACGTTCAACTGATAACACTTCCGAGTAGAGCCGATGCTTCAAACAGTTTCGTAGGATCTCAGGCGATAATAAGTGGATGGGGATACATTTCTCAGTCTGCTACCGATATCAGTGACGTATTGCGATATGTCAATGTAAATGTTATATCAAACGACGTGTGCAAGCAAACGTTCAATTCGTTCGTTAGAAACTCAAACATTTGTTCTGGAGGAGTGGGCAAAAAAGGGGTTTGCTTTGGAGATTCAGGCGGGCCTCTTGTTGCCAGTGGAAAATTGGTAAGTACATATTCGTTTAAAATCATTAAATCAATTTTTTTTTGTGTGTATATACTCCAGGCTAGATTATTGGTAGCACTGCGTCTCCCATTGAGAATTTGAGACTTTGGGATGAGTGGTAATGGTTAAGGACAAGATATGTTTCATAACATTCTTACCTCGTTGCCATTTGCTTGTAAATATGTAATAGAGACTGAAATTTATTTTTAATATACAGAGAGAATATAAAGATAGGAGACGAAACATTAGAAGAAGTGGCTGATTTTAAGTACCTAGGAAGTCAGATAAGTTAGGACAGAAGGAGTATTAGAGATATAAAGCGTGGGATAGCGTGATTCGCTTTCAATGAAAAGAAGTCACTTCTATGCTCGCGAACGGTTAACTTAGAAATTCGAAAAAGAAAAGGTGTATGTTTGGAGCCTGGCGCTATATAGGTGCGAAACATGGACAGTGGGCGTGGCGGAATAGAAGAGGTTAAAAGCGTTCGAAATGTGGCGTTACGGGCGAATGATGAAGATAACGTTAATAGAGAAGGTTAGAAATAAAGAGATGTTAGAAAGAATAGAAGAACAAAGGATTCTATGGATGTCGATAAGAAATAGACGAGATAGGTTGGTAGGACACTTTCTCAGGCATAAATTTCTAGTCAGAGACATATTAGAGGCAGAAACAGAAATTAAGAGAAGTAGAAGTAGACCTAGATTAGATTACTGTTCACAAATTGTTAAAGATGTGGGATGTTCTAGTTTTAAAAAATTAGCTCAGGATATGAAAGAGTGGAGTTGCAATGCGTGTCCAACCAGTCTTAGGACTGATGATGAGAGATAAATATCTGTGATACATTCTACCCGCTTTTTTTCTAATCAAAACGAGTGAGTGGACATTTAAGAAAATTACTACCAATTTACTTGATATGGGTATAACAATATTGCTATTCTTTGTTGTCTGTTACAGGTTGGTGTAATTTCGTTTATAAGCAATGGTGGTTGCGATGCTGGGGATCCAAACGTCTTGTCAAGGGTAACATCATTTTTAGACTGGATCGCAGCAAATAGTGATGCTGTTATTTCTTAAGCAACTGAGTTCTTCACTGAATCAGATATTGCAAATAAACGATTATTGCTATTGAATGAAACGTTACACATATTGTATATAATATTATATATTTATATCTAACGCCAACTATTGTGGAAAGTTGTAAAAACAATAATATATCCATCATATGGCTTTATGGTGCACCGCACTAATCTAAGGCGCTCCCGTCCCGGCAAAAATATGGTTGAACAAAAACATTTCGTTATTCAGTATACAGAGCATACTGCTATATGCAATGCAAAAAGTAAAATGCATTAAGGTCAATCAATACATTAGAACATAGTTATATAAATAAAGTACAATTAGCACCAAGTGTTAGCCTAAACAAATGAAGGGATCGTAATATAGTTAACAACAGAGTCCAAAAGAAGTAGGGGACTTTTATCAAACTAAAGCAGTTGCGAAGGGAGTGATAAGGACTCATAACGCTCCAGATGGGGATTCAGTAAAAATCCCTCCGCAGGTGAATTTTAATATAACAATTCACTGCGTGATAAAACAATGTGAGTAAGGTGTCAGGTCAGGTTACAAGGAACTGCAACCGTCCATACTCGGGTGTTACAAAATTTATAATAATTTACTGATGGTTTTTTTATTTTCTTTTTGTCAATTTATACAGATATGTAGGTATTTGTTTTAGTTATTTTCGGTTTCTCTTTTTTGTCTAGATTTTATTAACCAATTTGCTTCTTAAATACGTATTAACTGAGATTATACGCAATCAGAGTAGCATTTTATAATTCTTTTAAATATTTTTTTTTCAACCAACGAGTAAGACAAAGACAATCCTCATCTTAAAATCGTGCATTTTTGCGTCAAGTTCGTAGCTCCAACTAGGGTCAGCAGTTATCTGGTTAGTATTCAACCATGAGCGAGATCGGGTTATATGTAGATAGATTGTAGGAGAGAAAGTTGGTCGCTGGAAATGTTTGGGGTTGTAGAGGGCAAGTAACAGGACACCGAGAATGCGAATCTTTGCATTTTACAGAATACGAGAAGGATAGGTTATTAGCAGCTTGAGTAGAAGAACGGAGATAGAACTTCTCGTCCCTCTGGTTTTATTTCTTTCGAAACGTAAAGGGAAGTCGTGAAGCGCGATACGCATAGAGGAAAGGACAACCAATTTTAGTGTAAAAGTCCCACTGGACCCAAGGAAGGATCCGTCTCTGGCATTTCACGTACCCTAGCAAAGAAGAGAGGGACTAGCTTGATTGACTGTGGCATTGCTGAGTCGAGAAATTCGCTGACTCTGTATTATAGCCTGAGAGAGCTTCTTTGTTTGTGCTCGTTTAACATGACACAAGTCTGTTGAAGTGTGTAGTCCACCATCTCGTGTTTTTTTGGTGTGGATCCTGACGGGTGTTGAAAAATTGTAGATCAGAAACCGTGAGTAATATAGTTACCTCGCCATAGAGAGACGTGTGCCCATGTTATCAAGTTGTCATTGCTAATCGTCTACTCCGTGTCATCCCGGATTTTTCGGAGAGAGCCGAGTCCTCCCCNAAGAAAGAATATCTATTTATTCATAAGAAAAAATATCTATTTATTTACAACACTAACTTGTACTTCAATAACAAACAATTAAGTAAACAAATTCAATGGGAGTTTTGGCTTTGCATCGTTTTAGAAAGTTTGGATAAATTTGGCTAATAACTTGTTGTTTTAAGTTTCAAGCACGACTCTAAGTTTTCATTTATTAGTTGGCTTCTTACTTTACTTTAAATTATATTCATGTAAGGGCTTGCTCGCACGAATATGTCGATTCGAAGATAGTCAGCACTCTACATGCCAACTTCTTCACCTCACTGTAGCGGTCTGGAAGACAATTGGGATGCGGTGAAAAGCGAGCACAGGCCTGACGCTGGAAGCTGGCGGAAATTTTAAAATGGCGTGGATGCGCGGTGTCAAAAGTAGGCAGTTTTAGGTATAACGATTGCAGCCCTTTTTCTTCAGTATTCCTATCAGGGGCGTAGATTAAATATTTAAAAATAGGGATCAGTGAGCAAGTAATAAGCGGACAAACAGAAGAACTAATTGTTGATGTGGGTGACAGTGAAAGAGATTTCCTATTAATATTATAATTTACGCCTACTGAAAGCTTATTTGTGTATCGGTTCCAAGTGACTTACCCAAATAGGTCATAAATGGGCAAGTACTTACGCGGCCGCTCGCCAGCTTCCTTCGTCCGACCTGAACAAGTGGCTGAGAGATAGAATCAGTGTGTAATCCTCGTTAATCAATTCAGAACGATTTTTAAATGTTTTTGTTTTTGATAAAATAAATAATATTTTTGTATGGAACTAAAGAGCCGCAGCTTCACATCCAAAGAGTCGCATGTGGCTCGCGAGCCGCAGGTTTCCGACCCCTGGTCTAGTACGTATCATGCCGGATTTCTCGCAGCGACCCGAATTCTTCCCGACGCCTCTGTACTGTTTATCCATCCCTTGTCCTTCCTTTACTGATTATTATTTTTCACCTTCACCGTCCGTTATTAGTCTGCCATCGACGACCCCGATAACGGTACTATGTCTAACCGCCCCGTTGACACCTAACTGCTGTTACTACTTTTAAGTTTTTCTATTCTGGGCTCGGGGCCGCACTTTCGGAAGGGGTACAAATTTACTTTTTTAGGTTGAAGATTTGGTATTTACTAAAAAAAAATTGTTATGCGGTTCAACACTGTCGCAGCTCGCTCAATTGAACAACATCTTGCTCTTCTTTACTCATATTATTCACCCTCTCGCTCTATACTTCTATACCCTTGACATTTTTCTAAGAAACAACCTTCACTGTCTGATTGCCTGGTTTATTTATTATTTTCATATTCTTGAATATGCGGTTCACCGACCAGGAAATCGTTACCTATATACTATAAGATTAAGAAAATTTTCCCTCTGAGAAAAGTCCGTGAAAAGTTATTTTAAATGATACCTAATAATTTCTAGTCCAAAGATCCCCTAATACAATAAAGCCCTCTGAATTTTCCTTAATGGTGTGATAGCTCTAAAACTATTACTAATTCTACTCGTTTCTGTAACTTCTACAGGAAGAAGCTTCTCCAAATTAAAAATAATAGAAAATTATTTAAGACCGGAAGACCTTCATAATTGTATTAATTAATTCTTAGTATTGGAACTAGGCATTAAAGTGATTAGCTATTCTTTTACTAAAGATTTATTTAGTACCAATAACTGTAATATTTGTCAGTTGCTTAAGAAATAACAGCATCAGTGTTTGCTGAGATCCAGTCTAAAAATGATGACACCCTTGTGAAAGCGCTNTTTAATTTGCATGTACCCATGTCCCTTTAGGTATACATATATGTAATTTATATATTCCATGTCCAACTGTAATTCTTTTCACTTTCATTTACATTATCTCTTTCTTTTACCCTTATTAAATAATCTCTATTTTTCAACCTTTACTTACTTCGTATTCTATAAGTACTGATACTTTTGACTACTCCTGACAGTAGTCGTATTATAATTTTTAAATTTAAGAAGTTTTTTTTTAATTCTCCACTTCATCCTTTTGTTACACTTCGTCGATAACGAGTAAATTTGCAAAAAGAAATCAAATATCTAGGAATCACATCACAAGCATACGACGAAACGGCTTGTTAAAGATTTAAACATTTAGAATCGCGCGAACTTAATTTCATAAATAAACGGGCGAATTAAAACTTACAATACGGGAACACTTCTATATACATACAGAAAGTATGCCAAACGCTTCTTAGATTACCGTTCGATTTCACTAACCACAACGAAAAAACATTCACATACCACGAGACTTATTAATCGGTTTTCATTTTTTGAAACATTATACCTACTACAACATCGACATTACTCCCATCCCGAATCGCATCAAATTCATTAATTGAACCACTGAAAACAGCAACCCGATCTCAACTATCATCCTAATTCGCCAGCCACACAGACTAAGGCGGCCCGTACACCTACAATAATATTGCACAAGAGATAGATGATTGCACAATTTTATTAGCGGTGTAGGGATAATATTGAAAAATTGCGCAATGATTGAACAGAAGTTTAAAGCTTAAATTTTATTGCGCAATATGCTTTCCTTGCACTGGCGAATAATTCGGTAAAGGCAAGGAAAGGGAGAATCTTTGAGAACTTGTATTATTGCTTCACAGGTTTCCATAGTGGTAATGCTAAAAGCTTATGGGGAAATAGCAATTCTAAATTTTAAGTCCTCGGAAATATTTCCAGTTGCTAAATAACGCAAAGTTATAGATAAATGTTGATATGGTAAAATCGCCTCCTTCATAACTGTGTTTTTTTTCTCTATCAGAAGTTTCACTGATTGCAGCAATTCTTCGAACTTTGCAATATCCATTCACATATATTTTTTGTAATCGTGAGTGTAGACTGGTCTTTTGTTAAACCATTCTTTGGCACACATTCGTTTTCTTCTTTTTTTCCTGTATTCAACAAAATCACTAGCACGGCTTCGTCATCAGACATGTTTCTCGCATGAAAATATTGACGCGAATGGCTTGTCAATCTTATTGCTAAATATTATTGCACAATAAAAATATTGTGCAAAATTATTGTAGGTGTATGGGCCGCCTAATAACATTCTACGCATTAAATCTGCATCTCTCGCATGTTACCGGAAGACCTTCATAATTGTATTACTTACTTAGTATTGGAACTAGGCATTAAAGTAATTAGATATTCTTTTACTGTTTTATATATTATATATAGATACAGGTAGAATATAGATAGATAAAGATCTATTTAGTAACAATAAATGTAATATTTGTCAGTTATTTAAGAAATAACAGCATCTGTGTTTGCTGAGATCCAGTCTAAAAATGATGACACCCTTGTGAAAGCGCTTGGATACCCAGCATAGCAACCCCATTCACCTACAAATGAAGCTACACCAACCTGTAATAGACATAACAAGGGATATTTTATTATAGCAATATTGTTGAATCTATGTAAATCATTTTCAAGCTGACTTTATTAGATTGCTGATCATTTTCACTATATCGTTTTAAATAAAAAATCAGATAGAACGGCATATTCACTGAATTATAGAACTCCTTTTGCAGATAGAAAAAGAATAAACAAATTGATATCTGCATCACATATTTACAAATGCTATGAAACAGATCTTTCACTTTGTGATTTGGCAGGTGATTCACGATGAGAGGAAATTGTAAATCTGTAAATAGGCAAATATTTACGAATATTTTTATGAATTATGGTAGAGAATAGAGGTACACTAACGCATGAATTTCTCAAAAAATTGACACGATTAACGGAAATTAAAGAATGTCCCTTACCGTACAGCTCTTGGAAAATTCAAATGGGAGTGACCATAGGAATGAAGAAAGTATGGACTGTATCTTATGCGGAAGATATAGTATTGATGATGAACAATTAAGAGTGTATGACGGAAATGATGAGAAAATTGGGAAGATACATCGCAGAAAGAGGCCTAAAGATGAACACGGATAAATCGAAAATAATGAGAGACAGAAAAGGTGGTGGAAGAGCAAAAAAAAATATTATTTACATGGGAAGGAAAAGAAATTGAAGAAGTAAAATTCACAACTACCTAGGCTACTTCATACAGAAGAACAATAGAAAGGAAGAACAAATAGGAAACTTAAAAAAAAGTGTCTGCAGTCTTAGAGAACGTATAGAGCATATCTGAAAGGAATTTCAAGGAAAGTTGGGAAAAGAAAATGTATTTATTTGGAGTACTGGTAGAAAGTATACTGATATATGGTGCGGAAAATGGGGATAGTCAGAGCATATAGTAATCGAAGGAGTACAAAACAAATACATAAAATGGATTCTCAGGCTTGATCAAACAACACCAAGCTACCTACCAAAATTAGAAACAGGCAAAGAAAAGATGGCAAATAAGACAAGAAAAATGGCGAAAAAATTAGAAAAGAGGGAAGCAATCTATTTAAAGAATACTTAAAAGTAAAAGACAAGATGTAATGTATCGGCACTTGGGTATGTGTATGCTACAAGGTCGACAAAGAAGATCAGTCTCAAGTGATAACACGAGAGAGCTGTGCTGACCGTCGAAAGGGCATATACATACGAAAGGCCGCTCTCTGTATTACGTTGGTAATGTATGTTGTATCTTCTGCATACGATTGTCTACACCAATTAAATACTTATAATTATAATTATATCAGTGGTTGATTATTGGGTTCCACCTCGTACATAACACAAGATACAATTAAATACAGTAAAAAGAAAAGGTGAAAAGGGAAAAGGACCAATAGTAGAAAAGTGGAAGTTAGAGAGGAGGAATTACTTTAGACACACACATACATCTAATGTAAATAAGAATAACAATTTTGTTAACAAAGCTATTATCTATCTATCTATTTACCAATTGATTACTGACGACAAGAGGTCCGCCTGAGTCTCCAGAGCAAATGCCTTTATCCACTCCTCCAGAACAAATTATCGAGTTGGTAATGAACGAACCGAAGTTTTCTTGACACACGTCGTTTGCTATAACCGGAACGTCGACATATCGCAATACGTCACTCAGATCGTCAGAAGAACTAGAAAACAATCCCCAACCACTTGCTACTGCCTCCGATCCTGCGAAACTATTCGAAACGTCAGCTCTACTAGGAAGTGCTATCAGTTGAACGTACTCTGCGGCAAATTTAATTTACTTTGGTAAAAAGTTACAGAGGAAGCAGAATAGACACCAAAAAATGATAAGTGCAAAAATAATCGAAGATGCTGTAGTAAGGCCGCTATTTCAAGAAGTTAATCTCATAAATTGTTTAGCTCAAGGGTATGTGTAACTAATAAAATTAAATCAACATTTGTATACCCTAAGTAAAGCCCATGCAGCCAGTCGTTACATTACTGTTCAGTGGCGTGCTTTCAATATCTCAACCACTTCTAAAAATAGCGGCCCTGTTATAGATTATAATTATAATATACAGACATTGGAAAATTAGGAGATAGTTACGATTGAGGTTGGCTGGTGTTGGAAGATAGATAACGCCTAAATCATTCTGTCCTGTTTGATTATTAAAATTTTCATGGTGTTTGAACGTTGTGCTCGAAATGAGTTGTTGGGTAGATTCAGATCGACGAAGGTTATGCGCTCCAAGTATCACTTGTGCTGATATAAGTCTAATAAAAGAATAAAAAGTAAAATGCAGATGAAGATAACAATTAAGAGCAAATGTCTTACCCATCCGCCAAACAATGTGCAGCTGTTAACACGTATCTACTGCTGATGAGAGATCCACCACAGAAATACCCTCCTTCTTTGTCATTAAGTAGCAAAGCGACCTAAATCAGTAAACATATTATATTGTATGTAGAAACCAGTCGCACCTGATGGAACAGACATTCCACTGTCGGTGGAATATGGATTGCGGTTCCTATGAATGGCTAAGAGAAGAGTATGTAGTTTTGAACTCTAATGTGTAAGCCTGAATAATAAAAGATATAAGGAAAAATATTTTAGTTTATACCTAGATCAGCAGTTTACCACGAATTTGGCTACACCCTTTCACATTTCATAAAATTAACCCAGTTTTTTCTATATGCCTCCCAGCATTTTACAAATTTAAGGAATTGTAATACATTTTACAAATTATAAGCCCTTAGATTTCTGTCCCTTCAAAATTTGACCAATCGCCCAAATTTGGGTGATTGTCACCAATGGGCCAACAAAAAAATTTCGGAATCCATTTTCGCCTTGGCTAAAACCGAACTCATAAACTTTATTGTAACATTGTGTACATAATTTCCAAAATTATATCCATATTTCATTTTCCTGCAATTAAATTCACGTAACTTTCAAAATGCGAAAGTATAATGTACAATTGCCGTTTAAATTGGATCGACTTTGCGAAACGCCAAACAGATTCACAAAAGTATGGTCGATGTAGACGGACACAGAATTCCAAAAATTCCATATAACGATAACGAAAATAAATACTATATAGAATCCAAAAAAAAAGCGATGGTAAATAAGGGACGGGGAGATTAAGATAAATGCCCACGAAGCAGCCGTGAAGTCCTAAGAATGAGGTGATCTATCGGAGCGTATTAGCCCGAGTCCAAAGGAGACCGATGATTTAATCTCGATTCACTTATATTTTTTTTTATAAAGTGCACATTACATATACAGGGTATCTCACGATGAATTATTAGAATATTTCCGAAACTATTTCGACTTAAATTTTAAAAATTAATACAATGGTGTTATTGGGTATGGTCTCCTCAATTAAAAAAACGGCGTCTATGTAGGTCTTCCGGTTATACCAGAAATTGACATCAACCTTATATATATTACGATCATTTTGAATTCTACTTATGATTCTAGAGAGACTTTCATAAAGCTTTTCTACTTCTAAAATTTACAATTTCCGAGATATTAATTTTTTTTTCAAAAAAGTAGCTCAAAGCAGTTCGTAGTGAAAAAGCATGCCCATTTTACAAAGAAAGCTGGAACAATACTCTCAGGGGAGGTGACTATACCCTCATGATTTGATTAAATATAAGCAATTGTAAANTCAAATAAACGCACTAATAAACTTTTTCACAAAATTTAGCAGATTTTGATTTTATTTCTTTCAAAAACTAGATTATAATTGTTGAAACAATAGCTGCTTGAACGCTTAAAAGAAATCAAATTTCGGTACTATTCACATATTTGATACCATCCGTAGTTGTACCTACAATCCGATACCCAGATTAAGAATGATTCCCCTGTTACTGTATTTAAGGTTGATTGAAATTTTGGAGTAACAGAAACTGAAACGACTCAAGTTGGAAATTGGATATAATGTATAATATATGTATACCTAATTTTGCAATGAAAATAGTCAGATACAAGTAATTAGAATCAGATGCTGGAAAGTTCGTCAATCACAGAATTGTTGATTGCGCGCCGGACAATTTTCACTGATAGCTAATTTTTCTATTAATATACCAAACAGTAAAACAAAGATGAATCGAGGACAAATGATTTTACATTTTCGAAAATACATATTATTATTTCACTCGATTGATAGACATATTTTCTAGTCAGATGACTTCAAACGATATTTATATGTCCATTATAAACCATATGCTCAAAAAGTTTGAGTAATGGTCACTTCATTTTTTTTTTACAAAATTCTTAACGACTGCACCCGTTGTGTATCTACCCCCAAGTAAATCGGAGTGGCTGACTCTACATCTATGATGTGTGAGAAATCCTTTATCGAAAAAATATTAAAAAATTGAGGTCAAATCATCGGTCCCTTTTACACTCTTCTCTCGGATTATATAATCGGAAATCGTCGAGTACATCACGAACTGCCGTTCAGTTCACAATTGCAACCCTGTATACCGAAATCTCTCCACAGAGAGCAAACCATCAGATTCGCGTACAGCGGATAGTTTCCTCCCGAAAGAGTAAAGGTGTCACTGTTGAACCTAATCTCCCGCAGCGGCTCTTGACTCCTACCTGATAATTTCTTGTTGGTTTCGACTTATTGTTAATTATTAAGTTAATTTAACGACTATTGTGCTGAATATATAACAAAAAAGGGACAATAGGTGTTTTAATGATAAACCTCTCGTACGTCAAGCGACCCCTTCGCAACTACGATACATTAAAGGTGTAAGAGAAATAAGTGCTGAACTTAGAGGAGGTGATACAGCACTATAAAACATGAAAATTAAGTAAATGTTTCTTTGTCCGAAAGAAAATGCAATTGAAAGTACCTACAGGTAAATTCAATTCCGACCCGATCAATACGAAAACGCAACATCTCTTTCAATCAGCTGGGAATTAGTAGCATCGGCGTTTCTTTTGTACTTTCTTTGCTCATCGATTGTTTGTTATTTGTCAGATTAGATTAATAGTTAGTATGATTGTAAGATTAGATTAATAGTTAGTGTAATTCACGATGTTACGGCCTTCCTGTAAAAGTTATTTATCCTTTTAACGTTGTCAACCTCTCATTTGCAATTAGATCAGTATATCACTAATTATTATTACAGTTTAGTATGGCAGAACTTTGTGATATGTTCCTGATGTACAGCGAACATCCTCAGCGAAGACTTCCATACCCGCGAACCACCTTAAATGGGGTACAGATGTTGCGAGAAACGAGCAATGTACACCCTACAGGGTCCTAAGCGGACGTCGACATACCGCCGCTTTAAAAAGAGAAGTCCTGGAGTTCATAGAAAACAACCTCCAATGTTGTACACGGGAAATAGAAGGGAACGTTGGTTCCACCTATATAACAGTGTAGCGATTTTTAATAGGGCAGTTGTATCCTTGTTATTTACAACGAGCCTTACTTTTTACTACTAACTGATTTCTAGCCGCGGAGTTAATTTCTGTCAATGGTTTCGACAGAGCAGTGCATCATAGGGTGTCGTTTACAGATAAATTTGCTACTTATTTAATTTATTTAGTATAGAAATCATGTGTAGTACTAAACTGTTTACGTTTTGTTGAGGATCTCGCGTAATGCATTACTATTACAATATTTTTATTATTATATTTCTGTGTACCTCGGCGCCTATGTAAATATTTCTACCAGAATTCTTTTGTATCTGTACCTTTCTATTATTTCCTGTGTAGATATTTAGAACAGTCTATTCAAGTTCTTTTGTAATCAATTCCATCATTATCAATAACCTTAAGTACTTGTACATTCCTGTAATCCCTACTAATATTTAGCTTCGCGTACTAACCGTATGCCATCCGTAATTAGCATCCTTTCCTAATTACAATTTTACGATGGGTTTTCTTCGGTGATTTGAGACTACATTTTATTTGTAAGTGTTTCTCATCTTCATAACTTTCCAATCTCATTGCTACCCTATTAGTACCCTACTTTCATCCACCAACTATTAGCCCCTTCTTCACAATTTTTTTGAAAATTTCTTTTTGATAACATAGTCAGTCATTATCCCGTCTTCCTACCTTCTGGTACTGCTTAATACACTTCATAAGTTTTATCGCCGATCATCTTTCCTTGTTAAGTTTATAAATATATTGTTGTGTTGTTGTCTTGTTATTTAGTGTTTATTCTTTCGTTATTAACTCCTCCAAAAACTCTAACAAACTATAAAGTGGCCAACATGCCAAAATCTTACGATTAGACAAACGGCAATTCTCCATCTATATAGCTACAGAGTTTTTACGTCACTAGACCCCTATATTGCCAACTCACGTACAGGACCGGCTTCGGATCTTAAACTATTTTGAGTTTCTTATTGCCCTTAACCACTCTGTTGTACTCTTTGTGCGATAATTTATAGCATCTAGTTTACACCCTCCAAAGCTCGGCACTTATTTCTATTAAACCCTTTATATACAATATCGATTAACTCCCAAGATTTTGATCAAATTTCAAACATTTCAACTATTTTCAATGCTTACTTGGTATGGTAAAGAGTTTCGTGCAGCTTCATTACCTCCTACGATCTTTATTTCTTCAGAGGATGCAAGCGAATTGGGTACTGCGGGAGCAGGTTTAATATTAGACCAATCCCTAATTACGTGAGCCTGTAAATATCTCAAAAAGTAAGTAATTTCATTCGTAAATTATTAAAAGTGTAAACTTAATGGGAAATTGGGTCACTTCAATGATTTCCGAATGTGATGTGTCTAATTAAAGATAATCACTATTTATTGAATAAAATATATACAATATACAAAAGACAAATTTAGCGGTAAAATAATTGGTTGGTTGGTACTGTCCCGGCAAAACAGCTTAGTAACTCTACTAAAACAAACTAACTAACTGGTAAACACTAGTGCTCCAACTTTCTCCTTTGTTATGGTAACAAAAATCTCTAATGGTAGTAAAATTCTTAGAATCTTTGCTGTTAAGAATACGTACATATTTAAGCCTGAGGGTTCAGATGGTCATAAAATAAGGTAAAAGTTGTTATTTTGTTTGACTTAAAGAACGTATTTCTGTTTGCTTCAAAAATGAAACAGGAATAATCGGAATATTTGAAAATAAATAGGACGTTCGGTTTCACATA